GGATCTTGTAATGAAGCTAAAAATCCTTCACATCCTCGCCATACCATTGCTTTAACATTTACTTCTGAGATAACATGAGTTCCTTTCTCAGGTGAAACATCCTAGAACACGTATTCGGGTTCATTGACGTCACCGAAGATGATTTGTTTAGCTTTGCAGTCGATGGTCACTTGATGTTTAGACAACCAATCCATGCCAAGGATGATATCGAAGTGATCCATTTTCATTGGAAGTAAAGTAACTTCCTGAATTCGATCGCCAATAAATAACGGACAGTTTGGCAATTGACCAAATATACATACTGAACTACCCATAGGAGTAGTAATATGTAATGGAAATTCAGTGGATTGTTCATATGATTTAAGATTTTCTTCGAAGTTTTCAGAAACAATCGAGTGTGTAGCACCTGTATCAAGTAAAACATATGCATCTCTACTGTCAATAGAAAGGGTACCAGAAACCATACCCGCAGTAGACTTGTCAGCAGATAGTGTAAACACTCGACCACCGACAATAGATTGCTTCTCTTTATCTTTAGAATTATCTTTCGGCCCTTGTTTACAATCACGAGCTATATGACCTCGTTGACTACAATTATAACAGGCGCCGGTCATTCGAATACATGGGCCAGGACGATGTCTAAAACCACAATCTTTGCACCGTAACAGAGAAGTTGTATTTGAAAAACCTTTACTAGAATTTCCCTGAGATGCAATTGGAGGTCTATAATTTGGTTGTTTCCACTGACCTGCCCGATTGGTTCCTCGCCCAGTAGAATTTCCTTGAAACACATCTCTGTTTCTTTTCGTACCACTATCACCTCGGGAAAGTATAGAGTCCAGTCGTTCCCTTTCAATGTTCCTTGCAGCATCAACAACCTGGGCAACGCTCGTGAAGTGTTGATTGATAAGTTTGGGTCTGAATTTGCTATTGAGGGTCTATTTGAACTTATTAACCTGGTTTTCTACCATACCAGTCATACTACCCGCAAAACTAGCCAATCATAGAAATCTGGATACGTATTCGGATATGGATTCGTCTTCCTTCTGTTTGAGTGTAGCGTACTCTTGAACATACGCCTCTTTGTCTGCCGCAATAAAGTATTGTTGATAGAAAACCTCTTTGAATCTCGGCCAGGTTAAATTTTCAATAGCTATATCCCCTCCGTAAGATTGTTTCCAAGCTTGCCACCAGCGATTAGCATCACCTTCAAGTTTATAAGTAGCCAATTCCACTCTAATTCTATCAGAACAACCCAAGACTCGGAATACCTTTTCAAGATGTGATATCCAATCTTCGGCGTCAACAGGAGTGGCTGCTGAAGTAAAAGTACGAGGCTTTTGTTTATGAAACYTCTCTAACCATTGATGAATATCAGCAAGTTCACTACTAGTTCCCTGATCCCTGTGTTTTGGTCCGTAGTCCCCAGTATTAGGATTCGGGTTTTCGCCAGTTTGACGCAATGCTTCCACCGTCTGTGCTATAATACCTGGTAGCATGTCGCTAACTGTTTGTTGGACAGCTGCCATCACATTAGGATCAAGTTGAGTTGTTGGTGGAGGATTTGTTTCATTTTCAGACCCAGTTTGGCTTCTTCTTGGTCTATCTGTTATTGCCGGTATTCTTCTTGGCGGCATTTGGAACTAACACAAATAATAGGAAACCATTTGCTCGATTAATTTCAAAAAGAAACAAAGCATACGAGATTTCAAATAGTTAACATGTATAAGGCTTAGGATAGTCTTATCTTAGTTCTACCCATTCCTCACAGATCAAACCTAAATTGTACTACAAGATCATAACCTATAGCTCTGATACCACAACTTGTAACACCCCCGTCCCGCGTGGTCAAAGACGGGAGATGCCACAATTGGAATAAAACAAACAACATGTTATATAAAACGGAGCGGCTAATAAAATTTACCAAAAGATAATTACATAACCACAAACGGAGATAACGTGTCTCAAAATACGGTCCCAAAATATCAACATGTCTACATTAGTCATCAAAAGTTTAACAAAAAGTATGACTTAATGGGTTATCTTCAATATAGTCATCTCCGTAGCTCTCATCCCAAAATCCCTGCTAAGTCATGTACCTGCCGAGGTCAAGAAAATCTCGACTGAGCTTAATGCTCAGTGAACGAATAATAATATAAATAAACAATGAATATGAGATAACAAGTTCAAAAACAATTTATAAAGCCAAGTGATAATCCAAAAGAAAGTCAAAATGCCCCAAAAGCATGTCAAGGGTCCGAAGACCAAACTGCATCACGAGGACGCGTTGTTCCCAAAGGATGATCAGTCCATTCAGGCACAAGTGAGGAAAGGGGTGTGAGCACAACACAGCAATCCTCTCTGTGGATTTAACCACGACCATAATTCAATATCCGATAATGGTTCCTAGGATCGATCCATACGCCCTCTATTCGACCGGTACATAATCAAGTCCACTTTTAAGGACTATAAAAATAAGGACGCCATGATCGTTTTAGTCACCATGGAAACATCTCAATACCGGTGCTCCAGTTATTGAGTCTATAGTNACGCCATGATCGTTTTAGTCACCATGGAAACATCTCAATACCGGTGCTCCAGTTATTGAGTCTATAGTAAAATATTTCACAAATGAAACAATAAAACAATTCAATTGATCAAAATGATCCATATTCCGAATAAGAATATTAGTCGTAATTCAAAAGGAAACAAAGTTCAATAACATTTGATAAGCATAAAGAAAATTCAAAACAAATTATTCGGAATTTATCACAGATTATCTGGATTAGGAAGCCTTACACAAATGGCTATCCCCATATCAAGTGAGATATGGAATCTGTACCTTAACCGAATTTGACAATTAACGCACGATCAAACGAAAATTCACGATCAAGTTTGATTTGTCCGCGTGCCTAACGAATGCATAAACGGTTACTATTTATAAAGCATAGAAACCATAATATAACTATTCTAATAAAATTACTTAGGTCTTAATCTACTTAAACAACGTAGAGCTCAAGAAGGACAGCTGGATACGAATTGAAAACTCAAACGTAAAACTTAGCATTATTCTCTTTCGATCCAACCGTTTCCGACCATCTTATTTCTAAGCATTTTTATCTTACTTAGAGACCAATCCAGATTCCGTAATTTCCGACTAACTTTTATGATCCAACTTTCATGATTCGCTACATTTACATACTATAAACGTACTTCAACATACTAAATAGTAAAACAAGTCCAATGGTCGTTAACCTAAGCACAGTCATGCATTTGAACTCCTTTCGACATTTAACCGAACAATTGGTGTACGGTTAAACATATACCCACAATTTAACCATATTGAAACTATTATATACCCATTTTATTTCTACATCAATATAACCAGTTCTAGCATTCTAAACATCAAATATATCATGAATTTGACAAAATCAATCCATAAACTTAGATATAAACACAGTTTATAAACCGGTCTAAATAACCCTAACATAAACACCTTAATGAAATTGAATGAAACTTATACCTTTAAGAAGGGTTCGGAGAGTGGATTCCGAATATATAATTGTTACTTCGATCCTCTTATTAACTTGACGTAAAATTTGAAGAGAAGATGAAAAATCTAAAGAGAGAGAAATTGAGAAAAGAAAGAAAAAAAAAACAGAAACTGAGATTGAGAATGAGGCGGTGAAACCCCATTCACGCATGCATGTATATATATAACTTTTTTTTCTTTTTTTTATTTAATTTATATATATATATATATATATATAGTTTAACTATTTGGCGGTTTTGACCCTTCAAGTTTATATTCTGAACTTTTACGTCAAATTAGATATAAACTCGTTTTTGACGCAAAATTCGTCTGAAGTACAAGTTGGTATAACATATGGTACAACTATGTTATGCGTAATTCTACCAAAAATTTACTTAACCCAATTTGTACGAGTTAACGAAACCTGGATATTATATCTCGACTGCGCAAACCGGTCCTTTTCGTATTGGTGTAGGGGCTGTCGTTTCTTCCACTTCGGGTCATAATCCGCATCATTATCTTCTATCACCTTAGCCTTTCCTTTTTCCCGCACTATTTCGATCGAGTTTTTGGTCCTCCTGAAGCATTGCTCGATGATCGAGTCTGCCTCCTTACAGTTGTAGAAGTTGCCACATGGGTGCTTTCGGATCGTTGACTGGCATCTACATTGGTTGGGGAATCGAATAGGAACATCTCGGCCTTACTTACCGGTTGTGAACTTTTGAAATCGAAAGTCATGTCGTCTAAACCTTCATTTGAGATGAGGATGATGATGGGTTCTGGTGGTGGCACGGCAGGGGGTGCACTTGGTGCACTCAAGGCTACAAAGAGGGGTTTTGGGGCGGTCGATGTGCGGGGAGAATGAGATGAAAGGGCGAACCTAGTGAGAATGGCTAGTCCATCATCATCGTAGGTAGGAACTGCGGTGGTCGGAGGCGATGGAGGGTTGGCAGGCAACGGCACAATGGTAGGAGAAGACTGGTGAGGGGGGCTCATGGCGGCCGAAGTGGGGAGGAGAGGGGTCGACGACATTGGCGGTGGAAGACACAGCCGGTTCACCGGGTGGAACGTTGTCGTCAGAGGAGGTGGGGGGATTGCCGATGGCGAAGCGATCGCCGGGATGGAGTGGGGTGAGGGTTGCGAAAAGGTTTCGTGGGTATTGCCTTGGGGGAGGTGCACTCGAATGAGGAAGAGGAAAGAGTGAGGTGGTGTTTTTGTTTCTTGGAAATGCAAGTCTCAAAAAGGTGAAGTGATGGTATCATTTTTCATATTATGTGTTTTTTAAACTAATTTTATGATACTCATGATGAGTAGCCGACTATAGATGGTCAAAGGCTAAAAAAATACAAATTTTACATGGTGGTTTAAACTACCATGCTCATTCTTCTTTTCAAAAATATTTTTTTTTTACCTTGAAAACCACCTAAGACCCAATCATCCAAGAGTCAAAAACCAAAAAGTGGTTTACTTAGGGGGTGTTTGGGATTGCTTATTTGAAACAACTTATGTTTTTTTGTAAAAGTGCTTATTAACTTATATGGTATCAAACCGGAGTTTTATAAAAAAAATGTTTGGATTAGCTTATAGCGGTACCAAAAAGCAATAAGCTGATAAGTTGTTTTTTAGTGTTTGGCAAATTTTGCTTATATATGTAAAATGACCAAAAAGGACAGTCTTCCATATTATTGACTTATGAGAATGTTTGAGATTGCTTATTAATTTATTTATTTTTTAACATGTAAAAATTTATTTTTCATCATTTATAATAATATCTTTGATAAAAATTTATATCAATAGAATTAAAAATTTATATCAATAAAATTAATAATTATACCAATACCACTTTGATTTCTTCATAGATTCATCAAGTTATTACCTCACACTCCAATCATTTAACAACCCACCAGTTTCTCACACATTCAAAGATACGAAACCCCAATATCTTGACAACATTCGTCGAAGTCTCACACAAATAAGACGAAGAAATTGGATTTCAACTTTCTAAGGGTAAAATCGAGGGGGAAATGGCACCTGTATAGCGATGACATCAGGATCAATGGAGTCTATGAACTTGGTGAACTCAGGCCAATTGTTTTTAACCCGAAGAAGGAAGTTGTTAGCATTCCAAGTCAAGAACTTAGTGGGTTCTTTCTTTTGGGTCTTTTCATCATCATCTTCAACTGGTGGTGTTTTGGTTTCAGCATCATTGGTTGAGGATGGTGAAGAAAAAGAGGAGAGAGTGGGTTTCTTGAAAGAAACATCTTTCTTCACTGGTTAAAAGAATCGCTTCATCCTTTCATTGCAAGATCTGTAGCTTTTATTTTCTTACTGATTTATGAAGATTGAGACTTTATTTTCTAATAATTGAAAAGCCTTAAAAATTGAATCAAAAAACCAAAAAACTTGCAGAAATCGTGAATCACTAACCTCAAAACTTGCAGAAATCGTATATGTTGTGTAGCAGGGGTTAGGGTATCGATATGTTTGGAGGCATCGATGGACGATGATGATATATGGAGGACGATGAAGGGTCTGGAGGAAGGGATATCGATGGAAGGTCGGGAAGGGATGTCGATGAAAGTTCTGGTGTAGAGGAGGAAGGGATCGATGGAAGTGGTGTAGAGGAGAAATGGATATCGAGGAGATGTATTGGAGAAATTAAACAGGGTTAAAATGGTAAATATGTGATAAGTTGATTTTCATAAGTCATAATGAACTAACTTATCAAAAACTGCTTATTACCGGTTTGGCACCGGTATAAGCATTTTTTTTGTTACCCAAACACTAGAAAACAACTTATCTCCGGTGCCAGACTGAAATAAGTTAAAAAGCAGTTTTGATAAGCAATCCCAAACACCCCCTTAGTAGGTTAAACCACTACCACACTCTTTGAGAATTTTTTTTATAAAATAAATGTTAAATGAAATATCACATCCTTACACCTTTTTCTTTGACATTTCTTGAAAACCATATTACAAAACCAACCCACCACCAGACAATAACCAAAAAAAATGTTTTGCTTAATGGCTTATGGTATTATCCCACTCATCTTGATTAAAAAAATAATTTAGCCCAAGATTAGCTATGATGACCAAAATTTACCTT